GGCTTCGCTCTTTCTTCTGCTTGAAACTCAAAACGAGAGCTTACAACAAGACCGGGGATAGGTGATAACATGGCCGCACTCCTTGTGCGCCTTTATCAAGCCTAGGCGGTCTTGTTCTGTTTTCCTTAAATTCCTCCTCGGGAAGCCAGCCAGCCAGTAACATCTTGCGCCGAGCACGGGCTGCCTTTGATGGGGCAGGTAAAAGATAAAATGAAAAAAAACGGGTGGAATGACAGGAAAACCGGTCGACGTGACGACTCCAGAGATCCATCCACATCTCTTGCCTTGGGAAGCCCATGGTTCTCGTCTCCCAAGCCCATCGTTGCCGACATGTCCATTGTTGTTCACCCTTCCAGAAATCGCCACGGTCCCTCCCGCTTGTTAGACTTTCTGACCCGCCTGTTTGTGGCCTCTTGAACATGGAACCGTCGAGACCCCAGGCGGACAACCGAGGCCAAGCCAACACAGACTATGCCGGGCCGTATCGCTTGGTGCTTCCGCCCGCAGCTTCTTAGGAGCGACGCAAACGGGGAAAGGAAGACATGGGAGAAGGAAGTCGAGCTCGTGAGAAGTCCTCCTCCGCCAATATCATCTTTCCAGAACCATCAACATCGCCCGGCCATTACGCTGCATTAGATGGTCATCGCTCAAAACCGGAAGAGAAAAGCGCGAGGTGTTCAGATGGTAAAGCCTTCAAAGACATCCGAACGCCCTTGGGTCACGTCCTTGATAACCATCCCCCTTGTTTTTTTTTCGAGACAGAGAGTGCAAAGGCTACCGCGTGTCCCGGAAGCAGGACAGATAATGACTGCCTGGGATGTGGAATAAGGCGAAAGATCAGAAAAAAAAGAGGAGACTATCTACGTTGGGCCGGGTTTGGGGCCCGCAAAGGCCATCTCTGCCACCTGCGATGGCGAGCTCGGATACTCGGCCATCAAAACCTGAGCTATAGCAGCTGGCTATATACCGTAAATGGATTTGAGGTTGGCTTGGTCCTGCGGATCCATCTGGCCGAGGAATGAGTCGAACTGTGGGATGATTTGCTGGTAGACGTTGATGACCTGGCAGCAAACATGTTAGCAGAGGGTTTGGACGAGGCGTGCCTGTCCAAAGTAGTCAACTCACGTTTTTGAAGGCATCGTGCAGCTCCTGCTTGATGGGGTTTCGCAGGTGCACGAGGTCAGAGTACCTGGCGATGGACGTGAAGAGGTGGGGGATGTCACCCTCGATGGACTGAGGGTTCTTTACGACCGTGGCGGCGAAGCCCTTGAAGGCCGTCGCCTTCTCCTCGGAAGGATCAACCTCGTCCATGGCGCTGAGGAAGTCCCGAGCAAAGGCATCCAAGTGCTGCGCCATGACGTCCGAGTTTTCGATGCCGAGGCGGCCCAGCGCGATGGCTGCGTTCTCCGACACGCTCTTGGGAACCCTTGGGTTCGACACAATCTCGACGCAGCGTTGAAGCATCTCCAACGCGAAGGGTGCCATACCCTTGCCGTGCTGCAGTGCGACTTCACCGGCGCTCCAGCAGGCGTTGTTGACCACGCTGAAACCGTTGTCTATCTCCTCATCCAAGATGTTGTCCAGGTCAAGCTGCTTGAGCAGGATCGGGAACAGAGTAGCCAGGTGCGGCTGCAGCTGCGGGAAGATGAACTTGGCGCAGTCGCCCAGCAGGGCATAGGCTGACTGCCGGACCTCGTCGGCGGGATCCTCCATGCAGAAGCTCAGGAGCTCGAAGAATGCAGGCTGCGCCTCTGTCACAAGCTCGGCGGCCTTCTTGTCCACAAGGCACTGGATGACGGCGCTCAAGAGGTCCAGGCTGGTGACCAGGAAGTCCTTGTCGGGCTGGTCAAAGCTGACATTGCTCTTGGCAGCCAGCGACTGCTCGAGGTTTTGGTGGATGATGTTGATGCACCTGCGGAAGATAGGAGGCGCATAGGGCGAGAAGGTGTCCCCGAGGGCCATTGCCACGTAGGAAAGACACTCGAGCAACGGGAACAGCTCGCGCGACTGGTCCGAGACCCTTTGCCATCGGTCAATCAGCACGGGCATCAGAGAGCTCGAAAGCTCGGGCGTGGCCAGGACAGGGCCAATGCTCTCGGCGAGCGTCTGGACACAGTCGTAGAGAATGTACATGTTCCTGTCCTTGTACTTTTGGAAGCACTGCACGAACTGGGTGATGATAGGCCCGCTGTACGGCTCCAGCACCTTGCCCGCCTTCTCCTCGAGGTTGGCCATGGCGGACGCGGCTGCCTCCTGGACCTTCTTGTTCTTGTCCAGCATCTTGGTTAGGATGCCCTCCATCATGGGAACGAAGTAGGTGGCCTTCTGGCTGGGGTCCGCGAGGTGGGCGGCCCAGCCCGAGTACCGCGCCAGAGTCCAGCAGGTGATTTGGCGCACGACGGGCTCGGCGTCGTTGAGGAGTGAGATCAGGTAGGGGATGAGCTCGGGGAGGTGTGGAGTGACAACCTGAACACAGCCGTCGGCAACAGCGCCGAGTGCCAGGACGGCAGCCTCTCGGTGTGGCCATTCCTCGTGCTTCAGGTTTTCGCTGAGGTATGGGAGGATGCACGCGAAGACGGGCGCCTTGAAGTCGCGTGCGAACACATCCAGCGCGGCGGCGGAGCACTTCCGGACCGTCCACCTCTCGTCGGGATTCTCGTCGCCGTCGGCATCATCGTCATCGACCTCTCCTTCTTCGGCGTCGTCAGTCATGCCCTCGAGCTTCTGGTACTCGGCGCCCTCCTTGGAATCGTCGCCCGCAGCAACCTCGCCGTTCACGGCCCGCTTCAGCGTCTTTTTCGCGAACTGGGGCTTGATGTCCTCCTCGCGGTCCTCCTCGTCCTCGTCATCCGAAGCCCCGCCCAGCAGCGCAATATCCTCGCCACTATACCTCATGCACTCGAGCAGGACTGGAATGATCTGGTGAATGTGCGGCTCCAACAGCTTCCAGAGGTTGTCGTGCTCGCCGACCGAAAGCCAAAACTCGGAGGCCTCGACCGCCAGCTCCTCGTCCTCGCTCTTCTGCTGGCTGATAATGTACGACACAAGATCAGCGATGTGTGGCTGCAGCTTGTCCGGTCGGGTCTCGACGAGGCGCACAAAGGCACGGCAGACCTCCTTGCGCACATTGACATCGGGGTCGCCAGCACGGTCAAACAGGGCTTGCAGAAGGGTGTCGATCGAGGTGAGCATGGCCTGGGACTTGCGCGGCGTAAAGACGTTTATGGCAGTTAGCGCATGCGTGCGGACCTTGGGCAGCGGGCTCTTGGTGGCCTCGATCAGCTTGGGCAGGAGAAAGTTGAGGGGCCGCTGGCCGTTGTGCTCGCGCTCCAGGACCTTGGTGTTGTCCTCGCAGATCTTGGCCATTGCCGAGATGGCACCCTCCTGGCCCTCGGGGGAGACCTGGCCGTTTTCGTTGCTGAATAGATCCAGCAGCTGGGGCAGGAGGCTGGGCCAGCTGAACAGGCCGCCCCTCCGTATCAGCTCCGTGGCGATGTTGCCGGCGAAGTTCCGGATCTGGATGTTCTTATCCTGGATGCCGATGGGGACGGCCTGCTTGACCATGTCTAGACTGGACTCGGGGATCTGCTTAAAATCGGCCTTGATGTTGTTCTTGAGCATGATGCCCGCGGCGCTGCGCACGAGGTGCAGGTCTCCTGGCGTGATCTGGAGGCCGGGCAGGGAGTCGGCTGACGAGAATATGAAGGCGAGGTAGTTGTTAATATCGGGCGATGCTTTCGCCTGGGCTAGCATCTGGAGGGCCGGAGGCTTGTCAGTGATTCAATCTTGACGGGCGCAGCGGCCTGCGCGTGAGGGAGCGCGCGGGCTGGGTGCTCACCTCGTCGGCGCGCTTCTGCGCGTCCTTGTTAAAGCCGCTCAGGGAGTCCTTGAGACATCCTGCCAGAGTCTGCAGGGACTCCTGGGTCGGTTGCCAGGCCATTCTGACGGCGTGGTGCTCGCAGAGAGCGGGCAGAGCAGGGTAGAGCAGAGGATTGCGGTCGCGAAATGCTAGCGAGTGTCGCCAGGGGTGGCGGTTCTTTGTCTGGATCGTGTTCCTCTTCTTCGCAGGGCCGAGAGTGAGGAGAAGGCACGCAGAGGCACCACGCAGAGAGAGTGAGGGACTGGCGCCTAGTAGGTATTACTGCTACGAGGGCCGATTGCAGTCTTTTACGTGGTGGCTGTCATTGGGGGATTTTTGGTGGGCGGGCGGGCGCAGGCAGGGCGACGAAGTGGGGGAGGGACAGGAGCAGAGCTCAAATGATTTCAATCGGTGCGAGCGAGCACAGGTCAGGCCCAGATGAGGGGTGAGCGGAGCACCCCTCCACTGCGAAAAAGCGAGGGCACCAGCCAGATGCAACCTAGACCATTGAGAGCGACGGGGAATTGGAGCCATCACAATAGGGACTACCTATCAACAGAGCGCGAGAGAAGGAGCAATAAACTGCCAGTCGCTGCAGCCGCCTAAACAATGCCAAAGCGCAGAGTGAGGAAGGCGCCAGCGAGTGCAGTGCCCCGATTTGGCTGCAATTGAGGGGGTCCAGTCTGTTTCTGGTTGTTGGGTCGAGAAGATCAATTGGGATTGACGCGGTTCCCGCTCATTGACGCACTCGCAACCACACAGCAGCAACAGGACCAGTCGGTCGTTAAGTTTACCTGTGATCACGTTGACAAACGTTGGTCGACATGTCGGAGTTTCATAGAAACCTTGACTAGGTCAAGAAGTCGAATTGATGTGTTGCTTAGGTTGGAATTAGGAAAATAATAAAAGCCGGAATAAAAGCCGGAATAAAAACATGAATAAAACATGAATAAAACATGATAAAAATAGGAATTACAAGAAAAATAAGAATGAGAATAGCAACGGGAATGATAACAGAAATAATAACAAGAATAGTAACGGGAACGCTAACGGGAATGATAACAGAAATAATAACAAGAATAGTAACGGGAACGCTAACGGGAATGAATGCCAAGAGCAAGGAAAACAATGAAAGAAGATAAGAAACCTTACGGCAGTCACAAGTTTGCTTAATCCTTAGGACCTCCAAGCCACCGACTTAAATGACTGGCCATGGAAAACAACGTCTCCCGTACGAGGCCACACAGCGTTGTTGTGCGACACTGCTCAGCAACTATCAATCCCAAAATTGAATCTTGAATACCATCACGGATCACCACATGACGCGGGGAGGTAAACCTCAAGCCGGGAATACTTGTTGACAAGGCGGTACATCCTCGATGCTGAGAGATTCTCTCTGCTCTTGACTGCACGTGGAGGTGGCCGAGACCCCCATGAGGACCGGTGAGACACCTGGAGGAGCCTGGTGTGCACATGGGCAGGTCATGGCACGTATATATGCAAGGTGCGCCCACGTGACACCACTTGACATTGCCATAAAAGGTTGTTGGCATTGAGACAACAACACCATGCCGCTGTTCGGCCCGTCTGTCCCGTTTGAGCTGGACAGTTGGTATGAGACGGCAGTCTGCCTACGTGCCTACCTCCCAGGAACCTAGGCAGGCAAAATGTATTGAGAATCTTGACCACAATGTGGGACGATCTAACCAACATCCAAGCCCGGAGTTTGTGGCCATCAACCACCTAGAGCGCAACAGGACGGAGCTCAAAAAGTGGAACGTGGAACTATGTTAAAGATTCCCATGCATAAAGCATTATAGCTCGGTCGGTTATTATAACTCTCTGTACTATTAATCACAAGGTCGCAGGTACTACTCACGGATCTAAAGATGTAATGACCAAGCGCTTTGTGCGCTTGCGAATGGCAAATGACGTGTCTGCTTCGCACGCACTCGCCTTCGGAATCCTCGGCGAGGTGGGCTGTCACTGCCGACTTGATCAGACGCGGCCTAATCCGCATTGGGAAAGAAGCGCGCCCAAACGGGCTAGCGGTCATGCTCCCGGCCACGATGGCTCCACGGCACCCTGAACTCCACCGTTGATTGATCGAACAATCTTCTACCCCAGATTTGCGCTGTGGTCTCTTTGCCCATCAAAGGATCAAGGAAACAGGGTCTACGGGCGATCCAATTTGTGTTGGACGTCGACAACGACAAGCATCGTACCCGACAGCAAACAATCACACGAGCCCACGAGCCCACGAGTCCACGAGCGCTGAAAAGTCAACTAGTCTCTACGAAACCAAACTGCCAGGCCCTGCCGACCAACCCGCACCCGCCCCGGCCCATCACTTGCAGGTCCAATTCTCCTGGCCCGTGGCGTCGGCGGTCACCGCACCAGCCCAGAAGCGGTCTTAAGATGCCTGCTGGCACCTGCACAGCAAGCATACAGCGCTGTCCCTCTCGTCCCACACCCTCCTGCGCCGGCGGCAGGTAGAGCGGCACGTCTGGTGCTCCTGCGCCAGGCCCGCCCATCATGACGCGACGCATCGTCAGTTCTCTAGCCCGCCCCCCTTTTCTTTGCCTTGCGACAGCCGGCGCCGACAGACGGAAGCGAGGCGGCGGTGCGGTTCGGCTGGCCGGCTAACAGGAAACCCGTCGCGCAGGTACGCACCATCTTTCAGGTCGCAACGGCGGCGACGGCGGCCTTCATCATAATCTTCTTCCTCGACCGCAACTTCCGCGTGCTCCCCGATGCGATCCACGAATACATGCCGACCCACCATGTCGGCCTGGTCATAACAGACATGACGATACAGACGTGCTCGAGCGTCAACCCCTTCTCGACCTGCCAGCTGGATCCGCTAGTGTGGCACAGGGTAGAGAAGGACCTGTACCTCGGCAAGGGGATGGTAACGAGCGCATGGCTGCATATCCGCCGGCAGAAGGAGGGGGAGCTCAAGGCCGAGGACAAGGTCGTCTTGGATGTTACTGTTGGCCGTCTTGATCCCACGACCAGCGGGACAAAGGGTAAACCCCAGGACGACGCCAAGTGGGAGTCTAGGCCCGGTGGCATCTGGCTCAAGCGGTCCTCCAAGCGCCACGCCAGCGACAGCAAAAACGTGGTCACGAGTGTCGACCTGCTTTTCGGCGACGACTCGGTCGAGGTGCGCGACGGCTGGCACATCGTCGGCACCCCACTCCTGCTCGACGCAGGCTCCAAGATTCCCAGCGCGCACCTAACCGTGCAAAGAGGAAGCCCGCCGGCACCGCCTCCCAAGCCGGTACCGCGCATCCGCGACAATGGCAAGTTCAAGATTATGCAGATTGCGGATCTGCACTTGGCCACGGGCACGGGCAAATGTCGAGACGCGGTCCCGGACTCGTACAACGGCGGCAAGTGTGAGGCGGACCCAAGGACGTTGGATTTCGTAAACAGGATACTGGACGACGAGAAGCCCGACCTCGTCGTCCTCAGTGGCGATCAGGTCAATGGCGGCACTGCGCCGGATGCGCAATCGGTGAGTTTAGGCGTTGATGTCAATATATGGGCGGGTCTTGGTCGAGTGGACGGTGTACTAACGATTCGATACGCAACTACACTTCAGGCCATTTTCAAGTACGCAACCCTTTTGATCAAGCGCAAGATCCCCTACGTCAGCATATTCGGGAACCACGACGACGAGGGCAAGACGCTGTCGCGGGCCAGCCAGATGGCCATCGTCGAATCGTTGCCCTACTCGCTCTCCAAGGCCGGCCCAGAGGACGTGGACGGGGTGGGTAACTACTACATCGAGATCCTCGCGCGCGGCCATTCGTCACACTCGGCCATCACCGTCTATCTGCTTGATACGCACGCCTACTCGCCACAGGAGCGCAAGTACCCCGGCTACGACTGGCTCAAGGAGTCGCAGATCGACTGGTTCTCCCAGACGGCGCAGTCGCTCAAGCACAAGCATCGCGAGTATACTCATGTGCATCTTGATGTCGCCTTTATCCACATTCCACTCCCCGAGTACCGCACACCGGACCAACCATATGTAGGCGTATTCAAGGAGGGCGTGACCGCCCCCATGTTCAACTCGGGGTTCAGGGATGCGCTCGTCGAGCAGGGGGTGGCCATGGTCAGCTGTGGACAGTAAGTCGAATACGTATCTATCTTTTGCCCGTTTAACCTCGACATTATGCTGACGCCGCGTGTTTTCTTTTAGCGACCACGTAAACGAGTACTGCACCCTATCCATGGACGAGGAAAAGAACCCGAAGCTGTGGATGTGCTACGCCGGGGGCGTGGGCTTCGGCGGCTACGCGGGCTATGGCGGCTACGACCGCAAGATCAGGATGTTCGAGTTCGACATGAACGAGGGCCGCATCACCACGTGGAAGCGGGTGGAGCACGGCGATGCCGAGGCGCTCAAGGCCCGCATCGACGAGCAGATTGTCGTCGAGGAAGGCAAGGCCTACTATGTTCCGCCTCCGCCAGAGGAGGAGAACAAGGAGGGGCAATAACACGCGCATGTGAATTCAGGGCGGGGTGTTGTCCGATGACGGACTTGTACTCTTTACGTGCGCGTTGTCTTGTCGCGTCTGTGTTTGTGTCTTGTCTGTGAGAGCAGGCCGGCACGCTCTGCATTGTTCCGGCGTCATTGTACTCTGGGGTTCTCATACCTCATTTTGGAAACGCAAAAAACAACAAGATAAGTGTATACATAGCTTGGAAAACAAGATACTTTTGGGTTGTCCGGCGGCAAGCCTGTGCCTCTAGAATAACTAAGGGAACACACAAATGAGGCAATGGTTCGCCTGTTGGTCGCGCCTGTGTGGACAAGTCCCGTTCACATGCGGTCGTTCAATGCCCCCGGTCGATTGCAGGCGGTAGGCATCGCGCGGTCGTTGTTTCACCGATCTCAAGCACAACCTCGCTCGGAATGCGGCGGCCGGCAGACTAAAGCCTGCCCACATAACGGACGAGTTGTCCGATCATGCACGGCCAAATGCAAGGGGGGGCCAGATCTGACTGCGGCACGGGCTGGTGGCTGGCTGGAGAGCCGGCTGCCGTGCCTGGGCTTGTGGCATCCCTTGCACCTCCAGGTGTGCCCAAGAGTAGCGTGCTATCTACAAATCGATCGGGTTGTCTCAAAACGGGAGGTAGGTAGGTAGGAGGTAGAAGGTCTTGTTCCTTTCCATCACCTGCGCGCCGGCGCTCAACGGCTTCTGCGGGTGGGTATATTTTTTTTTGTCGGACGCAGCAAATGGGCCCCCTTCCCTCCTCCTCCTCCTCCTCCTCCTCCTCCCGTGTCAGGCACATGGATCCGACCGCACCCTTGTCGGGCGGTCCACTTCGTGATCGCCCTGAGGTGGAACAGGAGAAGGAATGGGCGGGAACGGGAATCTAGGCCGAGCGGGCGATGCACGACATGGGACGCGGTGGCGGTGAGGTGTCTCCCTCTGGCTCGATGAATGACATGCAGCCAGACTCGACCGGTTGAATGGGCGTTGGGGGATTCGATTGGGCCAAGGATCAATCCATGCTTTGCGTGCGTGCCTGGTGGGAGGTATTGGACGGATCGGATTATCCAATCGGTTGGATTACAGTAAGCTGGCTTGGTTGGCTGCAGCACAGGGCTATGTTTGTTGGCCATTTCAATCCCTTTACTTTTTTTGGTCTTTCGTTAGCGAACCGCCGTGTATTAATATCTGCCATGGCGATTCAATGCAACAATCCTAGCCGACCGGCTGTCTGCCGCGCGAAATGGAGAGAGAGCCTGGGGAAAGAATGAACATGCTTGAAACCAACAAATGCGCCTTGAGGTTTGAAACCACCGACAAAGTCCATTTTTAGCCTGCGTCGTCGCACTGTAGTAGCCACCAACCAGCACGGGACCCCTGCATGAACCGCTAAGCCCACTCTGCCATTCCAGCGTTGAGGCGCCCCCGTTGAGCGCCAACACGCCATGGGGAATAGTGGACGAAGCCATCGATGTGGGCTGTTGGTTTGTGGACAGGTCTGTGGATAGGACCCTACCAAGGTCAGGGCTCCCTCGTTGATGTCAAGCGCATCAACTGAAGCAGGCGGCAACATGTAGAGTGTTGGAGGAGGAGCCTGCGACATGCAGCAAGGTCTCGCAAGGCTGCCTTCTGCGGGTGAAGAAGGCTGACGACGCCGTCGAAAAGGAGGCTCCCCAAGTAGCAGGAATGCAAGTTTCCAAACCGCTCTTGGCTCAAGTGGTGCATGGGCTTCCCCGCGGTGCGCACTTCTCTTCTGGCACAGAGCGTCAGCTCAGCCGCACACACGCGCTGGTTGCACTAGCAGGGCGCCCCCGCCTGCCAGGGTCCTGGTGGTGGCTCCCACGCTCCTCCCAAGCCCGAGCCTTCGGGGCTTTGCACCGCCTGGGCAACGCGCGCTGTCATGGAGTCGCAGCGCCCGCACCACAAACGGCATTATCCCTCGGCGCTGCTGTGCTTTTTTGGGTGAGCATCGCCCTGCTCCTCCTTGTGCTCCATCTTTTTTTTTTTTTCCCTTTCCCTGGCTAGCTCACCACTTTGTACTGTTGTTATCATCGGTGCGCCCAAACAAGCAAGCAGCTTTTGTGGCATTTTTCCTTTTTTTGATTCTTCGCTTCTCTTCTCTTGCCTTGGTTGCTTTCCCTTATTTCCCCCCTCCTCGTTCAGTTCTCCAATCGTTGCAGCTCCCCTTGCCTGCTGCCCCTTTTTGTCCCTTCTGCTCCAATCGTCTTGTCAATTGTCTCGACTGCTTTGCCATCATCGCCCGGTCCCTGCCACTCGCGTGTCCCAAATCCTCCCGCGCTACCGCCTGGATTCTTTAGTTCAAACTCCTTTTTGTTCTTTTATATTCTTTTTACCCAACTATATTTCATGCGAACGGCGAGCTTGACAGCTGGGACTTTTTCAAGCGGCACCAGGACCCGTCAGATTGAAGTGGAGGCACGCGTGCTGGGCGACGTTGTTCGAGGCAGGAGGAGGTCCGACCTGGCTGTGGAGCCCGCCACACACCCAACACTCTGCCGTTTCTGTGAACCCGTCACCCGCCGCCCCTAGCCCAGTCGACCAGACGCTCTCTCATCATCTGCACACCTGCAGCGGCCCCAATCTCAATCCGTCCGCCCCCCTCGCTCTTCCCTCTCGTCCGGCCCAGACGCCCCCATCCGACAAACCCGACCGAGCCCTCGACTCCCCGCGTCGACTCGACAGCCGCCCCGGCGCTGCCCCCGACGCCCGACGCACTTGGACCCGCGTTACGTTTGCATTCCGTCAAACCGCGCAGAACCAAGGGCAAGGTGACAGCGATCGACTCGGCGGCTGCTCAACCCCCGAACAGCGACGCCACCATCCCGCATATTTCCGTCGCCCGACCGAGAGTGAAGCCAAACCACGCCCAACCGGTCCCCAAAACTCTTTGCCGCCGCCGCGAGACGACCCTCGTCGTCGCTCGCGCTGTCGATTCCACTCGCTGCCTCGCCGCCCCGTAATCGTCCAGCTGCCAATCGCCCGCGCCCCGTCGCAACGTTGCCGAAAATGCCGCCGGCGGACTCTCGGCCGTCGCCAATCAACGGCGTCGTCATCGGCCTGTTGTCGTCCTTTGGCTCTGCCATCCTTATCGCATTCGTTTTTGTCGTCGTATATGTCCTGAGATACACGGCCCCCGGTCGGATCTTGCTCGACCGTATCGGCAGGCCCGGTGAATTCGATGACGAGCAGGCCTTCGCCAGGGAGGAGGCCGATGCCTTGGAGTCGATGGATGATATGCAAAGGACAGAGTACTTGAGAGCAAAAGGTTCGGCCCCCCTAGTGCTTGCTGCTACTCGTTGTTTCCATCGCCTAGCCTCGCTGGCTTTGGGGATCGTCGGCTAATCAGAGGCGGTTATCGGTCTTATCTAGCCTTTATCACAGCCAACCCTCCCGAGTCGCTGCAAACCGATATATCACTTTCCCAGTACCTCGCCATCCAGGAGAAGGGTGTGTCGGCCTGGGAGTTCGAACCCGAGCTGGAGATCGCCAACTGCTTCGTCGAGGCGCGTACTGAGATCGAGTTCTTTGATTCCGAGTGCTGTGTTTTGAGCAACCTCCCCGTCCCCAAACAAAACGAGGTCTACTACTGGGAAACAAAGATCTACGAGAAGCCCGATAACACGCTGCTGAGTATTGGCATGTCGACAAAACCGTATCCGCTGTTCAGGTTGCCAGGTATGGTTTGCCGTTCGCCCTTGTTCCCTCGGTGACGTGCTTGTCACTGACCTTGACGTTACCTGCAGGTTTCCACAAGTACTCGGTTGCGTACCTGTCAAACGGGACCCGTCGATTCAACCAGCCGTTTGCGGGCACCAACTATGGGCCGCAGTACGTCCAGGGTGATGTTATCGGAGTTGGGTACCGGCCGCGGACCGGCACAATATTCTTCACCCGCAACGGAAAGCGGCTCGAGGATGTTGTCCACGGCCTAAAGTCGCAAAACTTCTTCCCCTCGATTGGTGCAAACGGGCCCTGCGTCGTGCACGTCAACTTTGGCCAGTCGGGCTTCGTCTTTATCGAGGCCAATGTCAAGAAGTGGGGTCTCGCGCCCATGACGGGATCCTTGGCCCCCCCGCCGCCGTACGGGTCCGAGCAGGGAAGCATTCTGCTCGAGTCCGGACGGAAGGACGGCTATGCGCCAGCTAGGGGCCACTCGCAAAGTGTCTCGGTCCTCCCGTACCCCAGGCAGCAGCATATTCACGACGCACATCAGCATACCCGTTCGCGGTCTGGAAATTTTAGGTCCATGCCACCCACGAGCCCGGGTCCCATCCGAAGCCCTACCGACATCTCCCTCGCCCACCTGGTCCCTACAGACGAGGTGGGCGAGGCAAGCGGAAGCTCCGCCATGCCCTCTTCGTCCGAGCCTGCAGCCCAGCCCTCGTCCACGAACAACCAGAACACCGGGCTTCTGGTACAGGACCCTGGCCTGCAGCCGCCTCCCGAGTATACGAGTCCCGTGTCTTCGGAGAGCTCGAGCCGCCGTACGAGCACCGACAGTGAGGATGCGCCTCTGATTTCTATCCCGGGTAGGAGTCGCGGCGCTTCCACGGCATCGGCACGCTCCGCCACCAACCACACAGACGGCCCGCCGATTCCAAGCTACAGCGATGCGGTCCGACAGGGCGCTGGCCGTGAGCGGAGTGCCAGCTCCATATCAAACCGGAGGTAGAAGGGACCGGCTCAAGTCCATCAGTTGGACTATGCTCCGACTTTGGACAGCCGGGTGTTGTCATTTGGCGATGGCACTGGTGCCAGCATCCAATGGGCACAGGTGCCTTGACGCCAAGTTCAGCTCAAGCCATGAACTGTCGATATAATACGCGCTGCACAAGGCGCTTCTCAACCGAAGCCTCCTTCAGTGGAGCACAGAGCTGACCAACGACTGGTCAAGCATCAGCGATCATACCTGGGAAGGTCGCGAATCTTTTAGTTTCTTTTTGTCCGCGTTTTGTTGCTCCTGTTTCTCAAATACACGCATAGCAGAGGAGAAAACGGAAGGGGACCCCGCAGAGTTGGTCCCAACTGATACCCGCACGACCCTTTCCTTTATTTTGTCCATCTTCCACTCCCATCATTTCATTTAGAATCTCAAAGTGTGCGTCTCCTTCCATCAGCCCGGGTACATGACGGTTGCAACGAGGCGGCTATGATCTGTTCCGCCTGCCGAAGACTCGGTTGTGTAAACCCGATCCGTGAGTTGAAATTGAGATCTATATATCTGGGTGCGCGCATGTTTCATGGCGGCGGTCGGTAG